ATACATGCAACAAAAACAAAGCCTTAAGTTCTTTTAATGTTACATTATTAAAAGGAAATTTAAAGCATGTTCTCCATTCCACAGAATTTTTTTAGAACATAGGTAAACTTCTCTGGCAACCTGAGGAAAGCTATGGAAGTACAAGCTTACACAAAAGTTGCAAAAAATTTCAGAAAGTTCAGGGTCTCCCTAAAGTTCCTCCATGGATTCCCAGGTAAAAAGAGAAAAAAATCAGATAATGTACAGCCCATACTTGTGAAGTATAGTTTACAGCTCTGCATGGAAAATTGGGAAAGCTGAGTAAAAGGGAAAAAGGCCATTTTGCTACCTAATAGCAAATCATACATGACATGTTAGTAAATATACTATAATATACTGTAAATATACATGTTAGTAAAAGCATGCACTTTTGAGAGTATAAAAATAAAGTTAAGCATCATAGCAGGCTCAGGAGTCAGACTCCTGGATTTAGATTCCTGCTTTGCCTCTCACTAGCTCTGTATCCTTAGGCAAGTTATGTTCCCCCTCCGTTACTTTCCCTTCCCTCTCTCTATACCCTCGTCTGCATAATGAGACAAACAGCACTTACCTCACAGGGATGTAAGGCTTAAATATATTCATACTTGCATAAAGCATTTGGAATAGTAACTGGTACATTGTAACTGACTGGAAAACATTAGCTGTTGTTACCTTTAATGCCCTTCACTGCATTTAGAATCTTGTAAGAGGTCCTACACAGAGTACTCTGAATATAAAATTTCTTTTAATGATAGAGGATCATTGTTATGAGCATCAAATATTATACTGGGATGTAGATACAGCTGGATATCTAAGATACTACTAAACCTACAATCACAAACTGGCCTCCCTGTCTCATAGTCAAACTGCAGCCATACTTAGAATTTGGTACAGTATTTCTTTAAATTTTGAATTACATGCCAACATTGAAAAAAATTAGAAGATTTCATCTAAAAATTCAGATTTCTAGTTTCTCTTAATAGCTGAAGATCTGGCAACACTGGACTTCATTCCTGCACAGAAATGATTTACCTGAGTTTATGGAATTCTCCTGCCAAAGTAACTTTCAGTTTATGCTTTGCCCCCTTTTTCGTAAGAGCGGACTATAGAATATGTGAATATATTTTCCTCTTTCAGAAAAAAATTAACTTTATGAAAAGTTATCTATTGAAGGCTGAAGGTTCTCCCAAGTAGTTTCTCTTTATTACTCTTCTTCAATATGCTGTGACTGAGGAAGCAACATTTAAAATATGTACTATTTTGGCTGGGCACAGTGGCTCATGCCTGTAATCCCAGCACTTTGGGAGGCCAAGGCGGGCAGATCATGAGGCCAAGAGATCGAGACCATCCTGGCCAACATGGTGAAACCCTGTCTCTACTAAAAAATACAAAAATTAGTTGGGCATGGTGGCACGTGCCTGTAGTCCCAGCTACTTGGGAGGCTGAAGCAGGAGAATTGCTTGAACCCGTGAGGCAGAGGTTGCAGTGAGCCAAGATTGCGCTACTGCACTCCAGCCTGGCGCCTGGTGACAGAGTGAGATTCTGTCTAAAANAAAAAAAAAAAAAAAAAAAAAAAGTACTATTTTTTAAAACAAGTAGGATATACAACTTTCGTTCACTCTCCAACTACCTACAAGCTACATTTTTAAACCAGCATGAAGGAAGAACATCTTATGTCTTTCCAATAATTTAAGAATTTAATTAATACAAATTCTTTTTTTCTTTAATTTTTTTTATTACAAAACTAAGCTTAAGCTTCAATAACACAAATTTTTAATTGACATTTTAGAAAGAATCCACCTCTGCTACTGTAACACCTGTATATCCTCAGTCTTTAGAAGGATTTCCACATCACAACAAGAATATGAGGTCTGTCCTCTTTTGGTGGGTACTTATGCTTGACTCTAGCATTATCAAGCTAACTTGACTTTTCTTGTTACTAAACTGAACTATGAAACATGGGAATTATATGGATAAAACAGTATGTTATATTCCCACCCCAAACCACTGTGTACAGTAACATGCCCTTTGACCATACTAAATATACAAAGGTATAAATTAGAGAGATTTAATAACTGGTCACTTAACATTTTAAAATATTTATTGTAATTATCCATGATGCTATTTTCCAACTTATACTAAGATTTTAACCTTCCCTTCCTAATTTAGCACAGAATTTTTATATATTAACTTAGAATGTTATAATGTACATCCTTATAATGTAATAATGATTGTAATCTAGTTCTCACCAAATTGTTCAGAGGATTACATGAGATAATGCATATAACAAATGTTTCTAATTTAATTTTGCCTTGTGAGTTTTATTATTACAGTATTAAATGACTTAGAGTTCAAACAAAATTCTACTATGCCTGGATTGCAAAATACAAAAGACCAAAAACTAAAGTAAAAGTAATAAAAGCTGTAATACAAATTTGACTGAATTTTAAAACTATATAATTTCCCTAATTAATCAACTGTTACTTATCTATGTCCAGGCTGCACAATTCTGCAAATTACAGCGATGCTAATTAATATCTATAGTTCTATTGCTTTGTGCACTATTTTTGTAACATTAATGCATTCAACACATTTATCTATAATATAATTTATTTTTCCTTTTACAAACTGAGCATGCACAATATAAAAAGTTATTTGAAAACATTCATTTATATGACAGAGCCTATGGATTTTATTGTACTATGAATTTATAGTGTGGTATGAGCAACATGAAATCTTTTTTCTTTTCTTTTTTTTTGAGATGGAGTCTCCCTCTGTTGCCCAGGGTAGAGTGCAGTGGTGCAATCTCAGCTCACTGTAACCTCCACTTCCCAGGTTCAAGCAACTCTCATGCCTCAGCCTCTTGAGTGGCTGGGACTACAGGGATGCACCACCACACCTGGCTAATTTTTGTATTTTTAGTAGAGACAGTGTTTCACCATGTTGGCCAAGCTTGTCTCGAACTGCTGACCTTAAGTGATCCTCCTGCCTTGGCCTCCCAAAGTGCTGGGATTACAGACATGAGTCACCATGCCCTGCCATAAAGGCTTAATATAGAATTCATTTAGGCAAAAATATTAATTTGAGAATCAAGTATCAGCTCTCATTTTTTGGATGTATCCAACATGAAAGCATCACCTTAAAGCAGGGATGGACAACTATGGCCTGTGGGCCAAGAAAAATTTTTGGATTTTATTAAAGTGGAAGAAAAATGTAAAAGAAAAAAGGAAGAATACAGAAGCAGCTACAGCAGTGGCAGTAGCAAAAGGCACTGTATGTGGTCTGCAAAAAAATTATTGATTATCCAGCCCCTTATGGAAAAAGTCTACAACCCCTTCCTTACAGTTGTTTATTCATAAAACAGTAAATAATCAACCAGCCAGGAATCTCTCTTACCTGTCCAAGTATTTGTGAAAAGGAAGTCTTAATTGTCACCTAGTTTAAAACAATTATTGAAAAAAAAGTTAAGTTTCACCTAAACTCCTTTAGTTTACATTTTATTAAATTGAGCACTTCTGCACATCTCTAACCATAATAATTAATTTTCCATACTGGTAAACTTAAAGGCGTTCAAGATCTTAAGGAATCTTCTGAGCCACCATGTAAATTGTATTAAGTGTAGTTTTACTGTTTAATATATGTTCCCACATATCTAATTCTTTGACAGTTGAGTGAATGCTATTATGCTCCTTTACTACCTAAAATATTTAATTAAGTAGACTATCTTATTACCAGATCATGCCAGCTAAAGGAATTTAAGCCAAAGTAATATTTTGAAAAGAAATTCACCCTTAATTATCTCTATCATAAATATACTTTTTTTTAATAATTAGGAAGTCTATTTGATATTAGAAAGGAGATAAATATTTCTTAGGGAAACTTAAAATGGTTAAATTTTGTCGATATATGGACTTCTTGAAAATATGCAGTATTTGGAAAAACATGGGCATTTTGAGAGCATGCATTAGTTGGAACCAAATTTTTATCACACTTTTTTATATTCCTTTGATATTATAAATATGAATATGCAAGTTAAAAACTGCTATGGCCCTGAAAAACCCTTAACTGTTAGAAACAGAATGCAAGATATCAAAGTATTAATAAATTCCATGAAATCTAAATTAATTCATAATATAAGCTCAACTGAAACTTGGCTGGAGGAACAGATTCTATTAATTTGACAGTATCAATCCTAGTTTACCCTTGAAAAGTTAGCTCTAACAAAGAATCCAAATATTTAAGCTTGGCTTTAAGAGTTGAGCTTTCACTGGTTTTATATTTCACAGAAGCCTATGATGTCATAACCACTGAAATAAGTACTTTAACCACTTAAATCGGGAATCTAGGGGCTCTTCATTCATGAATCCATAAGTAAATAAAATGTTACTCTCAATTCTATTTCCCTTAACATAAAGAGATGTGCTTTAATTATAAAATAAACACAATAGGTATACAATCACACGTTAATGACTAGCAGAGCTTAAAATAATTAGTGAAAAGGAAAGAAGATCCTTAAGCTAACAACCAGTAGAGCTGTACACCAATAAGTATTACGTCAATTACTGCAGTAAGCCCATGTCAGCTGACTTCATGATGTTCTTCAATTTATAAAGATTCTGTACTTGGGGCTTCCAAATTTAGAAGGTTAATCTACAGTCTTTTTTTTTGGCTTTATCTTCTATTACTTATTAAGATGTATACATTTTCAAATAGTCCAGCTATGGAATGCTAAGATGGTGTTAACAGGAAAAAGGAAGAATATTTAAAGTATTTTAAATGCCTATTTTTTATATTTATTGGCTTCCATACCACCATATATCTGAAGCTAGTATAAAAAGGATGTTTCTAGCTTATTCTATAACTAAATCTTAAAAATCAAGCAAACATACAACTTACCTCATACTTGCAGTCTGATGATGTATACATTTTTAATAATGCCACATGGCTGTAATTTTCTGGTTGAGCAATATGGAGTTTCACAGAAATTTCTGTGGAAGATGGAACCCTGAAGAGATAACTTAAATATCAATTCTCAAATACAAAATGCTGGTAAAGAACCATCGCTAAGTTAATCCTCAGCACAATACAATCAAATAATGTAGAAGCTAGGTACCAGACCCATAATTGTGGATGGGCACTTTTTCAATGATATGACAATTGTTTGAATGCTCCCTCTAGGACACGGGAGTTGGGAGAAGGTGGAAGGGGGTTCAGCTGACAAGTAAGTAAAGTTTAAGTTCTCTATCATTTACTAAGAATATTATATATTAAATTATAGGAACAATGCTACATATAGGATAAACACATTTTACTGAGGCATTTTAATAATTCATGATTTAAAGAAATAAACTAACCAGAATATTTATTATTCAAAAACCCCAAAGTTTAAAGTAAATTCTTTCAATACTTACTGTGCAATGGTTAGCGAATCTTCATAAGACCAGGGAATATGAAGTTTATAGATACTGGTTATTTCTTCTGTTAAAACATTAAAAAAAAGTATCATTAACAATATGTTACCCTAAATGTTACATAAGCTACTATCATACGTAATTATACAATTGTCTATTTCATTAAAAAAATCAATACAGGTTATATTATGTGATAAAAAATTATGGAGAATTCCTAAATAATAATGCTTTAATTAGGTTTATAATAGATATTAGGGCAGATGGGCAGTACAAAGAAAGTGGAAAATATTAAATAACTAAATCTGAATTACTACTATAAGACATAAAGATGGATGGGATTTTTAAAATGTGGATATTTAAAGTGAAACAGATAAAAATGCTTTACTGTTAAGAAAGGGTCTATGCCAAATACCCTGGAAATATAAATAATTTTTCTATTATATATTTACTTAACATAAAAACATATGGAAGAATAAGTATTACAGAAAATTCAAGTTAACACCTAATGAGTCTTCAAATGACAATATTATTTTCTATATATATATTTTTTTTTACCTCTTTTTTTCTTTCATTTTTTTTTCTAGACTCAGAAGGGCAATAACAATCAATTTTTCTATGTATTTTTTAGAAAATATATTTACCTTTAACTGCTGAGCACTTGCTTACCACGTTGATTTTAAAAGCTTGGTATATCTAATAGAGTTTGACCACAAAAACAAAAAACAAAAGTTTACTTGTATGTTAAAGTAAACATTAAAGTAAAATAAAATCCTTCTTGTTGTAGTCAGGATTAATTACCTGTCCAAAATTCAGAAGCTCTATATTGTAGTATAGGCCACTTGTATTTATCACCACTTTCCTTGAAGACAATCCTGTTGAATTCAAAGTACTGTATTACTTAGAATATCAAGGAATTTTTCAAAAACGTACTGATAACATTAAAACGATGCCAATAATTAAAAATTTGTTTATAGGTTTTTACTTCTGTATGGAGTGAACTCCCAAAAATCTAATCCCCCTGCAATAAACTCTAGATAAAACAACTTTTATGACTTCTAATCACAATAACCTGCTTTTTTTTTTCCCCATTTATTTATTTTATTGCATTTTAGGTTTTGGGGTACATGTGAAGAACATGCAAAATTGTTGCATAGGAACACACGTGGCAGTGTGATTTGCTGACTTCCTCCCCATCACCTACATCTGGCATTTCTCCCCTTGCTATCTCTCCCCAACTTCCCACCCCCCACCGTCCCTCTCCTATTTCCCCCAACTGTCCCCAGTGTGTAGTGCTCCCCTCCCTGTGTCCATGTGTTCTCATTGTTCAACACCCGCCTATGAGTGAGAACATGCGGTGTTTGATCTTCTGCTCTTCTGCTTTTAAAAAGTCAAGTATATAATTCCAATTTCAGAAAGGTGTACTTTCTTGGTAGATCTTTTATTTTACAAGCTTGTTATCTTAAATGATATGAGCGATTCACAATTGTCATTTCTGTATTGTTCTGAGTATTTGTGTATCAAAAAAAAGGGTATGAGGAGAAATAAAAATTTTAAAGTTTTCCAAATTAACACAGTTTCTTTTCATAAATGGAATGTAAAAAAAATATATTTAAAGGATGGGCATACCAAAAGAGCACAGGAACCAGCCTAAAAGAGTTCCCAATATTCAAAGCTAGAACAACTTAAGCAAAAATATATATAATGATGGAACTGGATTATAACACAATGAATAAAATACATAACCTTGAGTCTATAGTGACATAAATAAAAATTGAATAAATCAATCAACAAATAGTAAGGAGAAAGGTCTCCTTTATCTCAGGAAGAATTCCACTAAATGTAGAATACCAGAATGATATTTGCTAAATACTAGATGAACCACTGGATGCTAAAAATAGTGGGTTATTCTAAAGAAAAACAGGGCATTTACATACTCTCAAATTATCTCACCCCAGCTATTTATTAACTACAAAAGAAAAAAGCAATTAACATTATAGCAGAGAAACCTAGCAGGCACCACCTTAACCAAGAAAGGAAAATTAACACAACCAGTAATTAGAAATATCAGTATCATGTATACTCAATATGATATAGTAGGAAAATCTCATTATTTCTGTGGTATTTTGGGAAAAATACATAACCTCAATCTAATCATATGAAAGTATGAGGCTGGGTGTGTTGGCTCATGCCTGTAATCCCAGCATTTTGGGAGGCTAAGGCAGGCAGATTTCTTGAGTCCAGGAATCTGAGACCAGCCTGGGCAACATGGTGAATCTCTGTCTCTACAAAAAACACAAAAAAATTAGCCGAGCATGGTGTCACATGCCTGTATTCCCAGCTAATCAGGAGGCTGAAATGGAAGGATCACTTGAGCCCAGGAGGCAGAGGTTGCAGTGAGCTGAGATCAGATCATGCCACTGTACTCCAGCGTGAGTGACATTGTGAGACCCTGTTGCCTACTCCCTCCACAAAAATGAAAGTATCAGACAACTCCAAACTATAAAATAATTAAACAGTATTCTTCAAAGGTTTCAAAGTTGTGAAAGACAAGAAAGATTGAGGAACTGTCACAGATTATAGGAGACTTAGGAGTCATGACAACTAAATGCAATGTGGGAACCTGGAGAAGCAGGACATCTGTGGAAAAACTGGTGAAAACTAAATAAAACCTGTAGTTTAATTAATAGTATTGCACCAATTCTTTCTTAATTGAAAAAACTGTACTGTGTTTATATAAAAGGTCAACCTTACGGAAATATGAGTGAAGGATATACAGGAACTCTTTTGTAACTTTTCTGTAAATCTAAAATTATTTCAAAATTAAGTTTAAAAGAATATTTGGAGAAATCTTGAAACCTTCTTATACACACAGCAATTTATATTTTATATTAAAATTGTACTAAAAGGGTCAATAGGATATATTTCACATAAGAACAGACACACAGATACATACACGTGATTACCTGAAAATGCATGTGATTATGTAAGTTCACTTCTCAGATGACTGCTAGCCCAGTATTAAATGAGAATCAAACCACTGAACCACATCATATAGTTATTCTAAGAAGTATACTTGAAATATTCAATATTTTATGTTATAAAGCTCTGCTTTACTGCAACTCTGTTAAAAATAAAAGCATTCTTATGCTTTCTAAAAACAAAGTACTTACCAAAGGAAAAAAGATGAGTTACAGGAAGTTGTAAGGATCTTGCTTCTCTTTTAAAGAATTCACAATCTACAACAAACTGAAATATAAAACACTGATTTATTAGAAAAAGTAAAGCTAAATTTATAGTAAAATAACTTTACTTGATGTTTGAGTGGAAAATAAGTCTATAAACCTCAGCTTTGGAGAAAGTATCATCTATCACACTATAATTCTGCCTATACTTATGTGGCAAGAATTTCTCAAGGAGAGATACTATGCTGAGAAAACTTGATAAACAAGCTTAACTAAATAGATAAATTATTAGAGGGCCATTCCTAGAACAACAGATTCATAGCAGTTTTTTTATAGCTAGCTTTAGGTGTTTGCAGAAGAGGGACATTAAAGGATGTATCAAAGTATTAAGAACCTAGGCTAATTTAAGATTAATTAAGAATTTAGATACTATATCTCTTAATGCTTTCATAGTCAAAAGGAAAATGTGGTTTTGTTATATATCCTTTTTAAAAATCCTGTATTTATTAAATATAGTCTAATTAGACTATAAAAGGCTTTTGGAGAAATACTGCCATTCATCGAGAGATGGCCAATGTTATTGGTGAAACATTATTTCAGGTTAAATAGTTATTACAGCAAGTAGAAAGAAGGTTTACTATGTATGGAGCCAGAAAAAGAAATGCTCTCCAAAAATGTAAAACTACAATGTGACATCTGCATTATTATAATTTTTTATAGTGAAATTTCTTTTTAGGTAACATTTCAATTAGTTGCATAAGAAACTGCTCTCACTTATCGGCAAGAATTGTTTCTGGTAAAGGAATAATTTCATTAAAATAATCTCTACAATACAATCATATTATTTTGATCTATAGAAGCTAAAGAAAAATTAGTCTGATGCGTAACTGTAGCTAGCAAGTAGTTTGCTGTCTACGAAAGTAGAAAGCTAATGGTGTCTATCCTAGGCTTTTCCAATGACTATACCCTGGATTTTCTGAAGTCTATTACTTTGTTTGCCTCTTGGGGAGATTTTTGATTGTTTTCGAATGTGAAAAATAGACAAGGGAAATTGCTATTAGATTATAGCGTCTACTTGGGGGAATAAAAGAAAAAACTTTTGCTTTTATTTCTCCCTCCTTACTTACAAGGCAAAGAACACAGATATTTTCATTTTAGAAAACAGCTGCTAAAAGATTAGAGAAATCATTTATTGAACAGGAATATTCATTACATTTTTACAAAATACTTTTGGGCAAGTCTATCTCAGACAGGGAAGCAATTTTTAAAAGCAATTTAACCACTTTGAACAAGTTTAAAATAATAGAATTTTTATTACTGCTTTAAAAAATTTGTCTGTGCCTTTAGTTTTGGGTAATGACAAAAACCTTACCTAAGAAAGAGAAAATTCAAAGGCCTGTCTCTGAAAAACCCCAAATAAGTGAATTTCTAATGGGTTTAATTATTTCATTTTCTCTTACAAAAAAGTCCAGATAATTCCATATTTGCATTTCTAAAAATATATTAAGACACTAGTTGACTCAAAAATGTTTTGCACTATTTGAATATATGTTACATTCTGATGATGAGCTATACATAGACATGCAAAAATTATGAGAGACTTAAGTTATAATTCTAGTGAGACAGGATTGTACAACAGTAGAGTCAGCAGTGTTACTTTCCAAAGAGCATTAAGATGCATTACATATTTATTAGGCTGCTAAGGCTGTCTATTTGCAGAAAGGCTCATTAATTTCTTGGAATAACCAGAGAGTGCCTTTTCAAGTTTGAGAAAAATGTTATATTCATTCAAAACCAGCTTACCTGCCAGAAATACCCATAAAGAGAGCTTTTAGTATTGAAGATGCTGAATTACCTCTCACTTGAGCTAAGCAAAACAGAACAATGAATGCATTATAAGGTACTTGTGAGATTTAGTCATTGAGATGACTCCCAACTACATCCTCCTTTTCCTTTCTTTATTTTTCCTAAATTTCTCTGATTATTTTGGCTACAAATCTTATCAAACTTCTCATTCAAGAAACATTTTTTCGGCCAGGCACCAGGGGCTTACACCTGTAATCTCAGCAATTTGGGAGGCCAAGGTAGGTGGATCACGAGGTCAAGAGATCAAGACCATCCTGGCAAACATGGTGAAACGCTGTCTCTAAAAAAAATTAGCTGGGCGTGGTGACGCATGCCTGTAGTCCCAGCTTCTCAGGAGGCTGAGGCAAGAGAATCACTTGAATCTGAGAGGGGGAGGCTGCAGTGAGCTGAGACTGCGCCACTGTACTCCAGCCTGGTGACAGAGCAAGACTCCGTCTCTAAATAAATAAATAAATAAATAAATAAATAAATAAATAAATAAAGAGAGAGCGAGCGAGAGAAACATTTTCTTGAGCATGTATGCAGTAGTCACAGAAGGGCAAGGATGCAAAGCAGAATAAAACCTATCTGTTCATTACTCAAAGAGTTCACCACAATGTGGTCATGGCAACGGAGACATAAATAAATTATAATTCAATATAATAAATTTTTCAAAGAAGTTATAAACAAAGTATCATGAGAATAAGTAAAAGATTACTGGGGGACTCTGGAAAAGGGAAAAAATGACACGGGTTGGATCCTGAAGAGTGAGGTTGCTGGGTGAAATAGGAAAAGGGGAGTCCAAAGGGCCCTTTATCTCCATTTTCTTTCTTACCCACTAATTCTATTGAAACCACCATTCTTTTCTTTCTATTCCCACTTCCCTAGTACAGGCTGAGGATACCTTATCCAAAATGCATGGAACTAGAAGTGTTTGATTTTTTTCAGATTTTGGAATATAATGAGATATCTTGGGGATGGAATCCAAGTCTAAACATGAAATTCACTTATGTTTCATAAATATACACATAGTCTCAAGGTAATTTTTTTATTTTTAATAACTTTGTGCATGAAACAAAATTTTGACTGTTTTGACTACATCTCACCACATGAGGTCAGGGGATGAATTTTCCAATTGTGGTGTCAGGTCAGCACTCAGAAAGTCTTTAGATGGCATGTCCTCATTATTACAGAGGTGAGCATCCTCACCTGTCAAAAAGTTTTAGAGTTTGGATTTTTGGATTAGGGATGCTTAGTCTGTACAAGTCCCTTATGAGATGCCTACTCTGTTTCTGATCTATTCTATACCGTAAGGAGATTAAATCTTCCCAAATAAATGATTTCTGATACTATTACTACTATAGTGAAAAATCTTAGGGCTTCCTACTGACTTCTGAATTCTGTGAAGTCCTGAATCCTCCAATCAAGACTTTCATAATATGGCCATGAACTAATTGTCCAGACTTTTCCTCCACTACTATTCTACCCATGGTGGCCATCCTTTCAAAATTCTTATTTACTTATTCACTGTTTTTCAAATATAGTTCATGCTTTGCTCTGTTGCTTTGTCTAAACAGTGCCGTCCATTATAACTCCTAGCAATGATGTTACTATTAAGCAACTGGAATGTGATTAGGACAACTAGGGAGCAGAATTTTTTATTTTATATTAATTTAAATTGAAATAACCACATGTGCTAGTGCTTCCTGTATTGACAGCATGGGTCTACAATGTTCATTTTTCTTATAAAAATCCTAATTATCTGTTAAGGCCATTTTGTTTGTTTCATTTCATTTTAAACGTGGGGTCTCACTATGTTGACCAGGCTGCAGTACAGTGGCTATTCACAGGCATAATCATAGCATACTACAGCTTTGAATTCTTGGTTTCAAGCAATTCTCCTGCTTCAACTTCCCAAGTAGCGGAGACTACAGGTACCTGCTACCATGCCCATTTTAAAGCCATTTTAAATATCGCCTTACTTAATATCATTCTCTTCATATACTTGGTATATTCTAATTTGTGTTACGTGTATTTGGGTAGTTCTTTTTTCACTCTTCCCTCTGCTCCAGTTACATTTCTCTCTCCCTTCCCAACAGTATGTAGCTATTTAAGAACAGGGTTATGTCGGCCAGGTGCAGTAGCTCACACCTATAATCCCAGCACTTTGGGAGGCTGAGGTTGGGGGATCATCTGAGGTCAAAAGTTCAAGACCAGCCTGGCCAGCATGGCAAAACCTGATCTCTACTAAAAATATAAAAATTAGCTGGGCATGGTAGCATGGGCCTGTAGTCTCAGCTACTTAGGAGGCTGAGACAGGAGAATCGCTTGAACTTAGGAGGCAAGGTTGCAGTGAGCCAAGACTGTGCCATTGCATTACAGCCTGGGTGAAAGAGCGATACTCCATCACAAAAAAAAAACAAAAAAAAAAAAACAGGGTCATGTCTTCATTTGTGTGCCTCCTATAATTCCTGGTACATAGCCTTGTACTTAAAGGGTACCTAATAATTCATAGGTTTTGGACCTATGAATTATTATTATGTGCCTAACAATTCATAGGTTTTGAAAGACTGATTGATAAACTGGAACCAGTTCTCACTTGGCACAAAAAAACTCGGGTTTATTCTGCTTAGTTCAAGTTGGAGTAGATGATCCTAATAATTTAACAGTCTTAGGTCGACATTTAACTGGCTACTGTTTTAGATAAACTCTGTGCAGAAAAACTCATCGAAAGAACTGTAAAATTTAGCATGTGTCCCCAAAACATTCTGATAATAATCTTAATCCACATGTTACCTTAGTTCCATGAACAGATGGTACATAAACAACAAGATGAGACAAAGATGGATAGTCTTGAAGTCTTAATGTCAGAGACTAAAAAAAAAAAAGATCAACTATTTTTATTTCATAGAGATTAATACATATTTAAAGAAAGATAAATTACACTTATTTCTTAATTATTTTAAAAAGCAGACTTCCAATTTATGTTAGGTACTTCATGAAATGCCCATGTTTACATTTCCAAGTCAATAATCCTGTTGAAAAATCAAATTCCTAATAATTATGTTAAATAGGGACTGCCAAAATATTCCCTGGATCCCTTCACATAAGACAAATTACATTAAAGGTTAAATTTAATTATTTTTTATAAGTATTTCCAAATTTGTTATCTTTTTATAATTTGGTTGTTACATATAGTGTCACAGTATTATTTCTACATTTATTTTCTTAGTATATAACAAAAAACATTCAACAGCTGATGAATGAATGGATGCTAAATATAATGAAAGAATTACAATTTAATATCAAACAATTTTGATCTAGCCCAAACAGTAAAGAGTTGCTGGCTAATGGCATATCTGCACATCATCCCCTGGAATTTATTTAGCAAATGATAAAGACAAGTATGTCTAAATAATGTACCTCATCAAATGAGTAACTATTCACTTCTCAAAATTAAGACCAGATCCTATAGTCCATATTTTGAAGAATGAATTGGTAGAAGACTGCCTCTTTAATGAAAAGCCAAGGCATCAAACACAAGTTTTAACTTTTAAGTTCAGGGTACCTGTGCAAGTTTGTAACATAGGAAACTTGTGTCACGGGGGTTTGTTGTACAGATTATTTCATCACCCAGGTATTAAGCCTAGTTACCCGTTAGTTATTTTTCCTGATCCTCTTCCTCCTCCCACTCTCCACCTTCCAATGGGCCCCAGTGTGTGTTGTTCCCCCTACATGTCCATGTGTTCTTATCATTCAGCTCCCACTTATAATTGAGAAGATGCAGTATTTGGTGTTCTGTTCCTGCATTCGTTTGCTAAGGATAATGGCCTCCAGCTCCATCCACGTTCCTGCAAAGAACATGATCTCATTCGTTTTTATGGTTGCATAGTATTCCATGGTATATATGCAACACACTTTCTTTATCCAGTCTACTACTGATGGGAATTTAGGTTGATTCCATGTCTTTGCTATCGTGAATAGTGCTGCAATGGACACATGCATACATGCGTCTTTATAACAGAATGGTTTATATTCCTTTGGGTACACATCGAGTAATGGGATTGTTAGGTCAAATGGTATTTCTATTTTTAGGTCTTTAAGGAATCGTCACACTGTCTTCCACAATGGTTGAACTAATTTACACTCCTGCCAAGAGCAAGTAAGCATTCCTTTTTCTCCGCAACCTTGCCAGCTTCTGCTATTTTTTGACTTTTTAATAACAGGCGTTCTGACTGGTGTGAGATGGTATTTCACTGTGGTTTTGATTTGTGTTTCTCTAATGGTCAGTAATGTTGAGCTTTTTTCCCATATGATTGTTGGCTGCATGTATGTCTTTTGAAAAGTGTCATGTTGGTTCATGTCTTTTGCCCACTTTATAATGGGTTGTTTTTATCTTGTAAATTTAAGTTCCTTATAGATGCTGCATATTAGACACTTGTCGGATGCAGAGTTTACAAAAATTTTCTCCCTTTCTGTAGGTTGCCTGTTCACTCTGTTGATAGTTTCCATTGCTGTGCAGAAGCTCTTTAGTTTAGTTAGACCCCATTTGTCAATTTTTGCTTTTGTTGCAATTGCTTTTGTTATCTTCATCATGAAATCTTTGCCTATTCCTATGTCCAGAATGGTACTGCCTAGGTTGTCTTACAGGGTTTTTATAGTTTGGGGTTTTACATTTAAGTTTTAAATCCATCTTGAGTTAATTTTTGTATATGGTATAAAGAAGGGGTCCAGTTTCAACGTTCTGCATAAGGCTAGGCAGTTATCCCAGCACCATTTATTGAATCGGGAAACCTTTCCCCATTGCTTGTTTTTGTCAGATCTGTTGAAGATCAGATAGTTGTAGGTGTGTGGCCTTATTTCTGGGTTCTCTATCCTGTTCCATTGGTCTATGTGTCTGTTTTTGTACCAGTACCATGCTGTTTTGGTTACTGTAGCCCTGTAGTATAATTTGAAGTCAAGCAGTGTGATGCCTCCAGCTTTGTTCTTTTTTATTTAGGACTGGCTTGGCTATACTGGGCTTTTTGGTTCCATATGAAATTTAAAAAAGTTTTTTTTCTAGTTTTGTGAAAAATGCTCATAGTAGTTTAATAGGAATAGCATTGAATCTAGACATTGCTTTCAACAGTATGGTCATTTTAATGATATTCATTCTTCCTATCCATGAGCATGAAATGTTTATCCATTTGTTAATGTCATCTCTGATTTATTTGGGCAGTGTTTTGTCATTCTCCTTGTAGAGATCTTTCACCTCCCTGATTAGCTGTATTCCTAGGTCTTTTATTCTTTTTTTGGCAACTGTGGATAGGACTGTGTTCCTGCTTTGGCTCTTGGCTTGACTGTTGTTGGTGTCAATAGGAATGTTAGTGATTTTTGCATATTGATTTTATATCCTGAGACTTTGCTTTAGTTGTTTATCAGCTTAAGGAGCTTTTGGGCTGAGACAGTGGAGTTTTCTAGATATAGGATCATGTTATCTGCAAATAAAGATAATTTTACTTCCTCTCTTCCTATTTAGATGCCCTTTATTCCTTTCTTTTGCCTGAATGCCCTGTCCAGGTCTTCCAGTACGATGTTGAATAGGATTGGTGAGAGAGGACATCGTTGTCTTGTGCTAGTTTTCAAGGGGATTGCTTCCAGCTTTTGCCCATTCGGTGTGATGTTGGCTGTGGGTTTGTCATTAGATGGCTCTTATTACTTTGAGGTAGGTTTCTTCAATATCTAGTCTACTGAGAGTTTTTAACATGAATGGGTGTTGAGTTTTATCAAAAGCCTTTTCTGCATCTATTGAGATAATAATGTGGCTTTTTTTGTCTTAAGTTCTGTTTATGTGATGAATCACCCAAATAAAGTTTTTAATCAAGTTTTATTCTGGAAATATGTGTGGGGTGGGAGTAGTTATATGTTCTAACAATATGCTTGCATTAAAACATTTATAAAGACTCTTAGCTTTCCCCAATCTTTTTCAGAAGCACCAGTGTAGGCAAGGAGGACAGAGATGCTCAAGCTAAAGTCCCATCAATGAGTAGCCTTCTAATAACCTGACCAGATTCCTGTGGCATGCTTATTAAACATAAACTCCTGGGCTTTGCCCCAACTTAGCAAAGTCCCTGTGACAGACTCATATGTTCTAATGTAAATTAAAAAGCCTTAAAAGAGCCTTATAAGCCACAGCTACAGGGAGCTAAGACCCAAATTAGCTACCAAAATGGTAGCTAATATGAAACATAAATTAATTAGAAAGAACTTGGATAATGTGTGCCACAATCCACTCTAATAGCTTTTAAGTGTTTTTTCTCAACAATGGCCAAGTGTTGAATTTATACATGCTTTGATGGAGGGCCCCATCTATTTATTAAAAGTTCAGTCCACAGAAATGTCTAACAGTGATATAATTCTCATCTGACATTATTTTTTTGAGATGGTATTAATATGAATAAACTCTACAAAATTTCTTTTCTTTAGTCATTCCTTCAATTTCACAGCAAAATAATTTTGTGTGCTATTTATAAATGGCTAATACACATTACATACAATTTGATTTTCATTACAATAAAAAAAATCTATCCTCTTAAGCTGAGAGCACATAACATTGCAGAATGCTATAATTCCTGTTTTCTAAGTTCTCTCTTTCAGCATTTGCCATGAAAAGTAGGCAGCTGAAATAATTTGTTCTCCTGCTGTTCAGCCAGCTGTTTCCTACATGCAGAACAAACAACATAGGGACCTAGTGTTTGATGGAGAAACTGATTAATCTTTGGAGATTTAAAAGAATAATATAAAAATTTTATGATTTAAGAAATACCTTTTAAAGCATAGGAGCAAAATACATTTTATTGACTTTTTAATAATTTATTTATTCTTAATCCTTATATTATAGGCTGGATATAATATCCAAATTAATCTATACAATTCATCCATGTAATAAAAAATCATTTATACCCCTCAAGCTATTGAAATAAAAAAAATAATTTGAAGAAATATTCGATTACACCTTATAAATAACTGATCAGTAAGTATATCCTAATACTTTTGTTTGTTTTGATCCTGGTCAGGATAGTACCAGTGAGAGACCTTCAAAATGTTCATGAGTCAATTTACTTTCCTATCATATTTGTTTGATAAACTCAAGGTCGCATGAATGAATATGTACAAATAAGATTTAGCAAGATAACAAAAAGAATTGCAACCATTACAAAGGGAAGCATGACTTGCAATTATGTCTTTTGTCACCATTCTTCTCTGTTAATATAAGTTACTTACTCTCTGTATAGTATAGAGTTGACTATATATACAAATAATTATAAATATTCATGAGCAAAAATAACTAACTTAATTGGAGTTAACTGTGAAATGACTGGAATCACCAGATGATTTCACTTTCAAGTCAATGAATGAGTTTAGGATTCATTATGAAACTGTGTTTTATTTTTAAAGTACAGATTTACTTGAAGACTGAAAACTATCAATCCTGATATACCATTATCAGTTATAATAAATACAATCTGGATAACAGAACAGATATTTTCATCAAATTTTATAATTATTTTGCTTTTTCAACAACAGATTTTGAGACTACACAAATAAGCCCTTTATAAAAGAACTTGCTGACCCACCAGAGTTGCTTAATCAAATCATAAACAACTATTAAATAAATCCCTGATGTGACTTATCACCCTGGGGAGTACTAGGTAAACTAGTTGTTCGAGTGCTTGACCATGTATCATATCTTTTTGAGATGTCCATGTTCCCACTGCAGGCCTTTCCTCCCAGAATGAATTCTAAGTATACTACTCAGCTCATATTTTAAGGCAGGCCATTCAAACATATCCTCAAATTGAATGTTAGAAATCCATCCAGTTCTTTTAGTATGAAGCTATAATATACAGAGATTTAGAGGACTGTTAACTTACAGTTTTTATCTCTGAAAGTAAAAAATATATATAAATAACACTAATTGCATATTATTCCCTATCAAATGTATTTTTGGGAAAAATGTTTTTTAAATGTAGGTTAGCAAATCTCAAGCTTATTTAATATCAAGATAAGCTAATGAAAAAGAATATTTTAAAATGTATATAGACTCAAGTATTTTTTCACCTGAATATTAAAATTCTGAAGCCATAATTTACCTTAATTGTTGGCAGCAGTTCAGTTTTCCATGATAAATCAACCCCTTGCTGGCTTTAAAATAAATATGAAAATATAATTAAAGGACAAATATATGGAAGTATTATAAATTATAAATAAGATTCAAAGGAAAAAGAAATCATCTCTACACCTAGTAGAGATGTCTAGTGAGTCTAATCCAATATACTCTGTCCACATAGTTCCCTTAGAAACAAAAATGTTTTTCCTAATTTCAATGTTTGCAAAAATTACTAGTATATTCATTTCCTTTACTATCCATTTTAAAAACAATACTATAATTTCACACAGCATCAAAATGATAATAACAATGTATGAAGCTATTCTTAAAGTGTGATTTCCAAGTATTGTTTATGTTCAGATAAATGAACAGTGGGTTCAAAAGACTTACCACATAGAAGTGCTGTTTATGCAACCAAAAATCCAACTATTCGTATCCTGTTGATGAACAGTACAAAACAAAACACACTAAGTATTGTAGAAAACAATTATATAAAACAAGCATCTATCTTCAATACTTTATACTTATATGATAGGGTGACTGGGAGCAAGTGAAACATAAATAATAGCTTATTATTGAGAAACATATCCAACATGTTCTCAAAGTCAAACAAATCAAGGATGGCTAAAGAAGTCTAATGTCAACATTGATAGCTAAGCGGTTATTCCGGAGCAAGAGTATGAGAAAGAGTGCCCTGACAGCTATCTACTATCTATCTCTCTCTCTCTTTTTTTTTTTTTTTTTTTTTTGAGATGGAGTCTTGCTCTGTCGCCCAGGTGTCGTACACTGGTGCGACCTTGGCTCACTGCAACCTCCTCCTCCTGGGTTCAAGTGATTGTCCTGCCTTGGCCTCCTGAGATTTACAGGCATCCACCACCATGTGCAGCTAAGTTTTGTATTTTTGGTAGAAATGAGATTTCACCATGTTGGCCAGGCTGGTCTCAAACTCCTGACCTCAAGTGACTCGCCTGCCTCCGCCTCCCAAAGTGCTGGAATTATAGGTGTGAGCCACCATGCCCTGCCATCTCTCTATAGCATATCACCTAAGCATTTCTAATTATTGAACCAAAATTTTCAAAGAGGTCAGTAATGTCCATACTTTAATTAGAAAGTAATCTACATCTTTTAAACCAAGAAAGAAAAGCTGGAGGTAGACTTTTAAACAAACAAAAATCCATAGCCAACCAATTGAAACTAACTTATATACTGCATTTTACTTTATCATTTGAGTTCCCATTTGGTTACCAGCAAATAACATCTTTTTTTTTTTTTTTTTTTTTTTGTTTTTTTTTTATTTTTTTTTTTTTTTTTTTTTTTTTTGAGATGAAGTCTCGCTCTGTCATCAGGCTGGAGTACAACGGCGCCACCATACCCAGCTAATTGTTGTATTTTTAGTAGAGATAGGATTTCACCATGTTGGCCAGGACGGTCTCAATTTCCTGACCTCGTGATCCGCCCAACACCATCCCAAAGTGACCAGCAAATAACTTCTACACAACCAAGAATGTGTTTGGACTAAAGTATAATTCCAAGGGCTCCAGACTAAAGCTGGTTAGATTCATCAGCACAGGATGAAAATGCTACAGAGATATTATGACATTTTAGCAAATTCTGTATTCAGCTTTAATCAGTTAAAAGCAGTGTGACCTGAGATCTTCACTGCAACTTTTAAGGAAGTAAGAGCAATGTTCTGAGACATAATTATCTAACTACTGAAATCCTACCAACACATAAGAGGATGAGAAGCACTGCTCAGATAGCTAAATACATGTGTCCTTTGAATTCTGGGTAGGACAATCAAGAAATCAATCCCTTTATTCAACTGATATTTACAAAATCCATTCTAGGGCCCAGGAATTATATGCTAAAGCCCTCAGGAAAATGATGAATCAGGCAGACATAGTCTCTGCTCTCATTCAGCTTAAATAAAATGCTAAGACATTTTTCAGGATTATATAAAAGAAAGCTGATAGGAAACAAACAAAAAAATGTGGTGTTTCTCTGCAGGCGAAATACTTTTATGAGTCTTGTATCAGTTCCCTGTAATTCTCAGAACAATAATTTGACATTAAAGAAGCAAGGCAACAGAGCAGATCTCCACAGCCTGGACACAGAAAATCTAGCAGGCTGTAAAAATCCAATCCATTTTTGTAAAGGGTTTTTACAGCTACTAAGGGGGGCCTATCCTCAAATGTAGCCTTCATTATAAAAATTGCTGATATTCCACACTACTTCAGTGTACAGGAAATTCTGATTCATTCATCAATGGATTGAACAGATAATTTATTACTCAAGCCCATCTTAAGATATCATGTTGATATAACGTAGGTGTCAAAAGGCTAGCTAGTTACAAAAACATTAGAAGTTACTCAGGGATTATTGACTAACTCCTAAAGTATATAGGAAAGAAAACACTGCTAATAAAAAATCTACAGTTCTCAAAAAATTCTGTCCACAGTAAAAAACAATGCCTATAATGGCTGCTAAAATCATTAAGTGAAAGATTGACTGGGTACCTTATAATAGATGGATCATGCTGGCACCACAGGGCCCATCAGTATTTTTGTCTCTAGAAGTGGTAAAACCAGCCATTGTGTACTTCCTGATATCAATAAATAGGTGATACACAGCTCTACTTATAAAACATTCTTACTATAAAAAATTAATCTGAATCTAATCAAGATTCTAGATCTAACTACCAGTTTATAGAAAATATAGGGGATAGAAATACATACTAAAAGACACTATGAGAATACAATCAGTTAAACCCAGAATGTGGGGAAAAGAGTGGGGGCTATTTATTATAAAAGAGACTTAAGATCTATGAACCAGAGGCAATGTATACGTTAGACTCTGATTCGAATAAACTTGAAATTTAAGTGAACCAAAGAAAACTGAACATGGAGTGAATAACAGATGATAGTAAGGAATTAGTATTAATTTGATTGGATGAAATAATGGCATTATGGTAATATGTAAAATCCTTATAGAAAAACATACTTTATGGATGAACTAATAAATGCCTACAATTTACTTTTAAAATTCTTCAGTCAAGAAGAGTAGGAAGGAATAAATGATGTATGACAGAGTATTGATAACTGTTAAAGCTCTGTGAGGATTATAAAAAAATTCATTCTAATATTTTATTTCTGCCTTTATATATGCTTGAAAACTTCTAAAATAAAAATTAAAAAGATTTTTAAAATTCACCATATGACTTTATGCTAATTAATACCAGTGAACACTAAATACAGAAAAAAAGATCCTCCCATCAGCCAAATGAATAATTTGCACTTTGGCAGGCATTTTTCTCAATATAATAGTGACATTCTGATTTGAAATTCAGTATTAAGTGAGAAAGGATATTTTAAGCCATTACTCTCAGGGCCAGAATCCGCCAGGGTAAAGAGCCCATCTAGATTTTAGGCTAAGAGATGCTAGTCTCTGTGAGAGATGCAAAAGTCTGGCAATTCCACTAAAATGCAGTATTCATTAGCACCCAGCCCACATGCCTATCATCTTTTTAAAAAGATTTTACTATATAATCAGATGTCAGCATCTCCAGCAAAGTACTAGATTTTGGTTCTAAATAAATACAAATAACTTAACAAAAGGGAGAAGGAATACATGGAAATATAAAGTGAAGAACCTTGAGACATGCCAAAAAAAAAAAAAAAAAAAAAAAAAAAAAAAAAAAAAAAAAAAAAAAAAAAAAAAAATCAGAATAGAGGAAAAAGAACCCAAATTAAGAAAAAATCCTGAAAGTTAGATATGTAGATAAATTATTGAAGTATAATTTAAGCATTACTTTCTTCTTTTTTTTTTTTTCTTTTTGAGACAGGGTCTCACTTTGTCACCTAGGCTGGAGCGCAAGTGGCATAATCTCAACTCACTGCAGTCTCAAACTCTGGGTTCAAGCGCTCTTCCTCCCTGAGCCCAACAAGTAGCAGGAACTACAGGTGTGTGCCACCACGCCCAGCTAAGAATTTTGTATTTTTTGCAGAGATAGGATTTCATCACCTTGCCCAGGCTGGTTTCAAACTCCTGAGCTCAAACCATACACCCACCTCAGCCTTCCAAAGTGATAGGATTATAGGTGTGAGCTACCACACCCGGCTTCCATTCCTAATATCATAATAAATGCACGCTACAGCTTTTTTAAACAATATCACATTTTTTAACAGTGCCTAACATAATACTCATTAAAAAGAAACACAATGGATCTAAAGCCTCAGCTGAAAGTGAAAAAAAAAAAGAAGAAACACAAAAATCAAAATCATTATTCTGATACAGTAAATCTAGGTAATATTGTAAAAGTTACTCTATTATCTTCGAGAATATTTGGTATAAAAAGTACCTCAAATTTTAATATGGAAGCCAATGGAAAAATAGAATTCACTTTATGAAGTTACTATAGAATAGCTTTGCTTACTTACATCTATTCTTTAAAGTACTAACAGAAACTTATAATTAAAGGGGTTTTGAATTCCATTTATTCATCATGAACTGAGTAAAACTAAGGCAGAAAGACAGGGTGGAAGACCTAAACTAGAACCAAAGTTACAATTTAATAGCATAGTATCTGTGATAGAAAATTTCTGATTAATACTTTTCAATTAAAACACTGTTCCAGAGAAATTATTTTTCAACTACTTAGATTTAACTAGGTCTATCAGTAGAATTTGAAAAATGAATAATAGTTTAACCTCTTAAATCTACATAGAATGTACCAATTATCTTACCAGCATAGTGCTCTGACAATAGGCATGAGTGTAGATTTTTCTATGATTTTCAAGGGGAAATGTAAAATATATCTTCTCAGATTCCTAAAAAAAAAAAAAAGGAAAACACTCAATATAGCTATAATGAGTACATTAATTTCAACATTCCAAAAACCAGATATGGCAAATGAGTAATTATTCTAATTCTATCATCTTCGTGGTGTTGAGAACCAATACTCTAGGAGCAGAAGGAGGAAGATACAGAAGGGCAAGAGAAATATTAGGTATAATCTCTGTAGTCCTCAGTTTGTCCTGGAAGTATCAGTGTGAATGAACTTTTTGTTGTTGTTGTTTTATTGTGTGTTTTTTTGTTTTGTTTTTGTTTTACTTTTTAGTTAAGCTTTTATGCAGTTCTTAGCTCTGGCCACTGAAAAGGCCTAGAAATGCCAATCCAATAGCTATAAGCATTTCTAGCACCAGATTATGGTTTTGAGACCCTTTAATGGTCACTGATAAGTGAGCCAACACACCATTCTGATAATGAGTAAATATAAGGTAATATCCAAAGATCCACACAATTATCATTCTTTTCTCATATGATTTATTCTACTTTTGATTAGTAGATGAGCAGATATTTTTCTGTAAGTATATAGAATTAACTAGAGTACTATTCTAGTTAATAAATAATAAAGTTAAACAGCATCATTTTTGCATCCTCCTAAATCAATTAATAACTCCAGGCATTCCTCATCAACAGTGGCTAACATCACAAAAATAGAGCCTGGCAAAAACAAAAACAAAACAAAAATCTGAATATGAAAAAGCAGCTAGATCCAACTACTAAATCACAGGACCACAACTGGCAAAGGAACATGTTGAATGACTACAGGAATGCAATCAGTAAAATCAAGAATGTGAAAATCTACAGGACAAATAACTTGTTGTTTTTGTTTTCTTTCAACAAATAAGTTTCAAGAAAAAAACGGAGAGCGTGGTGGTAAGAGAAAGTCTTCCAGATTAAAAAGGAATGAGACATTAATCAATAACAATGTGTAGGCCTTGTTTGGATCCTGATGTAAACAAACTGAAAATCAAAGAAAATAGCAAAAATAAATTTACGATAAAACTGATTACTGACTAGATTCTTTTTAAGGAATTATTATTAAATCATGGGAAAATGGCATGCAGTTTTATCTTTTTTAAAAGAGTCTTTAAGTTTTAAAGATAAGTATTAAATTATTTCTGGAAAAAAAATGAAAAAAAAAATCCATTGGTGGAATACTTACATTGTAAGCTACATAGGTCCATTTGGACACTTTTACTGGAACCCACATAGATGTCCCTTAAGGTAAAGGAAATTAATTTATTTGCCTTGTTTTGTTTTTATACTACATAGTTTCTTTCTTCTTTGAATCCTGGTGAAATATTTCTCAGTCACAATAAAGAAGTGGTTTCCTAAACACTGGCTATATTAAAACAGAAAATCTAGTAATATATTTTCTATACGCTCATCACCAACTAGCATTCACATCAAGTAAAGTATAAATCTGTTTGGTGTCCTTTAACTCTAAGGAATTATCAAAATAAGAAAATAAAGGAAATAAATATTTCACTTCCCAAACAAGACATATAATTAAATACAACAGGTATAATTTGCTTTATATTTAAATAGACAAAGCAAGTTATTTTGCTTTATATTTAAAAACCAAATTTATCAGCAAAAGATATGTTGGTATCCAAAAGAAGAATGAATAATAACCGATAATTGAGAAACTGAAAGGAGGCAAGAATAATATGGCACTTATTTTACATGATTGTTAGGAGAACAGTCATTTAATTGAATTTTTTCTATTTGTCATGTTATTTTCACAACAAAATTTTAATCAGCAACCTCTTACACGTTGCTTCTCTTTTTCCCTTCCTAACCAAGAATTGCACCAGCATCATCATAGGGAAATTAATTATACATATACAATAGGACCCTAAACTTGAAGTATCACAGTTTTGAAGATTTTTGTCTCCTACAAACAAATTTACCCAAAATTAATAATACTCCATTTAAAATTAAAATATGTTATTGTCACCAACCTGTTAAGTCAGTAATTATAGCTGGATTTTCCTCAAAATGTTTTGATGGGTGTCTTATAAAGTGGTGAGTCAAAACTGCCAATTTCTTCTTGGAATTTTGAGTTATCTAGAAAGATCATTGACACATTCTGTATCATTTTGTATCTATTGTAATAGTTCAATGAAACATTGCTTCAGTAATAATAACAACAGTCAACATTTATTATTCTGAGCCAGACACTGTTCTGAGCTCTGTACATGAACTCAATCACAAAAACTCTAAAAGATAATGATATTATCTGCATTTTAAATGAGAAGAAACTAAAAGCACAGATAAATTAAGGAATTTGCCTAAGATCACACAGCTATTAAGTCTGGGCTGGACTCACACCCAGGCATTCTGGCTCTAGAGTCCATGCTTTCATTATTATGCAATAGTGCCTCTCAAGTTACAGTTAAGAATAAAACATTATAAAAATGTATAGAACCAGAAGAGAAATTTAGAGATTCTTTGGTCTAGTGATTCTAACACACCAGTTTCCAAATTCAGACTACTGTCAATGCCACAACAAAGAAGCCACTGGTCACTAGAGAAAATATTGCCGACTTTCCTACCATAGAAATTACTCTCTTTTATACTGTCCTTCTACTTGCTTTCTAAATAACCTGGCACAATAAAAAGTTGGCAACTTTATACAAGCACAACCCTTAAAAAATGTGTACTGGGGTGTAAAATCCATTTGGTATCAACCATTATTCAACTCTCGAGTTTAATAATTGAGGCCCTGACAGGTTAAGTGACTTTTCTCAACCACAGAATGAGAATGGCAAAGAAGTAATAAAGATTCAGGTATATTAAACCTTTCCAATCCCTTTGAAAGTCATCCAGCATTTCCTTGAGCATTTTTAATTTGCTACTTTGTAAAGCAGTGCATTCCAATTTTAACAACTCTTATCAGGAGAATACTTTACCCTTTTTGGAGCAAATATCTGATTCCTTATTGCACTGCTATCTTAGATTGGGAGACAGTCCTTCAAAAATTAGAAGCTTGCTATGTTCGCCATTCAAATAAAACATTTCTTCTGCAGATAAAACAACTTCAAACATATCAACTGTTTAGCACAGAACTCTTTTAGTCCCTTCACCAACCTGCTGCCTCCTCTGGATAAACTCAAGTTTGCTGACATCCCTCTCAAAATATCATGCATGAAATAGAATACGGTTCTCTAGATATGGTGTCAGCAGAGTGGAAGCCAGTGGAACTTTTATATTAATTCATGTAAACTCTCTACTTCAAAGAACTCAATCGGATACTAAATTTGTGTGATTTTCTTAAGTGGCCACATCTGTTTGCAATCAATTAAATGTTACAGCCTATCAAAACTTAATTTAATTAAGACTAGATTCTACCAACCTTACTCACTCCCTAGGCAATCCGTCTACTCACAAGTTTTTAGCTATGAATTTTATGCTAATAACCACCAAAAATTACTCTGATTCCTGCCTTATCACCATGCTTAGGACTAATTACGCTTTGCATTTTAGTTTCTCTGAATATATATGTTCTGCTTTTCTCCTAGACTATAAGCTTCCCAAGGGTTAGATATCATACCTTAAGTTTTTATTTTCTACTATTTAGTCAAGTCAATTACACATAGTGAGTTTTTAAAACAAAACTCAGTTTCATCAACAGTATTTTTGATTCTTAGCAATATGGTTATCAAAAATTTCATTTTCCCCTTAAAATGCATAAAATATTTATACATTCAGAATTATAATTTATTATATACTAGTACTATAGCTCTTTTCTCATCTTACGAGTTAATGGAAAAATATGATTTTATTTACTGAAATTAGTTTTATGTCCAATTTTTTTAGGAATATACCTGTCTGAGGTATTCTGCTCTTCACGAGTTGGAATAAGGTTTTTCCTAAGTTTACCAAACCTCAGAGCAAGTACAAACAACATTCACTGATTCTATTATTGTATCTAGTTGCAGTCCCTCAAGTAGGCTTAGTGACTTTACCAAGGCTAAGTCTCACAGTTAAACAATGTTGATAAGCCAAAAAATGTTTGTATTCCAAACATTTTTGGAATACAAAGTTGAGACCAAGTGTCACAGTCTCAACTCTGTGAAGCTTATTCAAATCAATAAATACACTAACTTAACACTGAATCTTGTAGCTTAAAATGTGGTAAAACACAAAATGATCTGGATCTTTAGGAAAGAGCTAAGTATCTATGATTGTCTCTAAGAGTGATTATACAGCTTTCTGAAGAGTTAAGGAAAAAAAATCCCTACCCTTCTAAGAGAGTACACTACAGGACAAAGGTTCTTTCCTCATAGATAAGAAAAGTATTGCCTGGAGACCCATTGAGAAAGAGGCCTCTCATATTAGTTTCCCAAAGAATTGGAGCCTTCAGGGGAAACACTCCAAAAATATATGGGTTGTAATGCTTTGCCATGAAAAAGACTACTTAAAAAATAAGGATTTTTTTTCTCCAAAAGAAAAAGCCAGAGCCATAGTTCTCAAAATATATTTCCATGTAACAAGATGACCTGAGGTAAAAGGCTGTTGAAGATGAATAATGGCAATCTGTTTCCAACTCACAGAAAAAAATTTTAAGTTAATGGAAATAATTCTCTGAATTTTGCTGAAATCCTTGGTATCTGCTACCATTTATCTGCTAGCAAACAAGAAAGAGATAAAAGAGGAATGTGATAATCTGTAAAGGATACTATGACTTCCATTTGTTCTGCTAATCGAACAATTTGGAAAATTACCAGTTTGAAGAGTTTACACTGTGAAATTTCATTATAGAGAAAGTAAAACTTACAGAAGTACATAATTTAAGTTCTGGTGAGTTTAGGTTATTCGATAAATTACACATTTTAATCTTATCAGAAAGCTAAAGTGCTTTAAAAAAAAAAAAAAAACATGGTTCAAAAATGTTTAATAAACTCAGGAGGCTGAGGTGGGAGAATCACTTGAGCCCAGGACTTTGAGTCCAGCCTGGAGAACATAGAGAGAACCTATCTCTCAAAAAAGAAAAAAAGTCTAATAAGATAGATAATGATCAAAAAACACCAAAAACAAACAAACAAACAAACAAAAAAAAAACACCATAAGATAGATAATGATGTTTATAAGGTATTACAAAAAAAATTTATAAAATAGTTTGTAAGAAGTATTTCCCCTACATTTAAAAAATAAAAGAAAGCCGGGTATAGTGGCTCACGCCTGTAATCCCAGCACTTTGGGAGGCCAAGACAGGTAGATCACCTGATGTCAGGAGTTTGAAACCAGCCTGGCCAACTTGGTGAAACGCCATCTGTATTAAAAATACTGGTGGTGTGCATATGTAGTCCCAGCTTCTCAGGAGGCTGAGGTGGGAGGACTGCTTGAACCTGGGAGGCAGAGACTGCAGTGAGCCAAGATCACGCCACTGCCCTCCAGCCCAGGTGACAGAGTGAAACTCCATTTAAAAAAAAAAAAAAAAGCTGATGTCAAACTTTAAATAGTGGGAAGAACTGGGGGAAGATTTAAGGTTCTTTCACTTTTTCATGTTCATTGCATTTTACAAATTATTCACAGCAGTCCAAATATTATGAGAAAAAGAAAGGTATTTCCATTTTTGAACTAATTAAAATTGCTACAAGGCATATGCTTCTATTTTCATCAAGGTAAAAAAAATACACTAAATCCATCATGGTTGTAAATGATATAGTAAAGTAAAAGCTTTTGCTTAAATAATTTTTGTTTAAAAATGCATACCTGTTTAGTATCAGCATCAATAAGATCAAAGAATGCTCGAACTGTAGTCAACTGCAATTGTTTACACCTGAGGCATAAAGTAAGCGTTACAAATAAAACTTTCTTAAAACATATACTTTTCATACAATTTTACTGTTTAATGGAACATCTGAGTTTCCTTTAGGGCTCTAAACTCAAAAATTATGTAACAAGTCATTCTCATTTAGTATATATCTTAAAGATGAAACCTTTAAAGCAAAAATAAAGCAAATTAAATCTTCTTAAATGTTTGCCAGAATTTTCAGGGTCCTTCTGTTTTCCCTAAATTCCCTCACCTACTCTACCTATAGATGTACTATCTACCCCATCTCTATATGCCTGAAGCACGTCATTCTAGCAGATACTACTATTTGCACAGCCAGAGGAAAGTCGAAAGAGAATCTTTAAGCTGAAACACAATGAGAAATATATTAGGGTCTGCCTATTTCTTGACCCGTATAGATAAATCTAATTCCTACTTGGTTTTCCATGTGCCGCTCCCTAGAATAGTCACTGCTCCATTAACCAAATCTGAGTATGGTGACTGGCCAGAAGCTCAGAAACTCCTACCACAGGTGCAATTGATTCCATCCAACCAGGAAAATCTCAGAAACTTTGGTATTTGATGTTAGCTTCATTTGAGACTAATGCTATTGGGGTTTTTTTTGGAGGTTATTTTATATGTTGACAAGAGAACCTTGGTCAAACTGAAACAAGAACCAAGATTAGAGTTCCAATTTCCTAAGTTAGTATTTCTTCCATAGTCTTATTTATGGATGAAGTTCTAAGAAAATCAACAAAGCAGGCCAGGCACGGTGGTTCACAACTGTAATCCCAGCACTTTGGGAGGCTGAGGTGTGCAGACCACCTGAGGTCAAGACTTCGAGACCAGCCTGGCCAATGATGAAACCTCACCCCTATTAAAAATACAAAAATTAGCTAGGCGTGATGGCACTTGTCTGTAATCCCAGCTACTTGGGAGGCTGAGGCATGAGAATCACTTGAACCCAGGAGGTGAGAGGTTGCAGTGAGTGGAGACTGCATGACTGTCCCCCAGCCTGGGCAACAGACTGAGACTCTGTCTCAAAAACAAAAAAAGTGGTTAACGAACCAATTAAATTACTGCATTGAGGAGAAAAGAGGCCCATGACAAATCATCAAAATAAGTTATATAAGTATTAACTTACCACACAATGGAGAGGTGGTCTGTTGAGACCCAGGTCTTAGGCACTGCTGAACTCTAAAAAAAAAGAAAAAACAATAATCAAACTTACAAAAAACACATTTGTTATTCTCTAAAAAGTTTGAAATTCTTATAAGCTAATATTTAGAAACACATAACATAGTTTCACCATATTGTGACATTTTTAAATGATACATTCTTATAAAAGGTGATCTAAATATATTAGAGTTTTTCTGTATAAAACATAACTCTTTCTATAAATATCATTCCTGGTTAGTCAAGTTTAAATTACCCTTTAAAAATTATTAAAGCAACCACAGACTCTTTCCTAAAATTTAATGTCTAACTTTTTTTATTACTCTAATGAGAGATAAGTTTAAGATTCTTTTATAAATCATAATGTAAGTTACTAAAAACATTTTAGTAATTTTAATTTTGACCAAACTACCACTTGATAGATTCTAAGATGCTATTTCTTCATCAGTGGTGTACCTAAGAAATACCTAGGCCTAAAAAGATTTTTCAAACCAAATATGCCTAATCACAATTCCAAAACTACCAAATCAGACTTTCACAAGTGGGGTCCAGGCTCATTTACTCTGGAAAAAAAAAATCCCTAGCTGATTAGGATGTATACGGACAAAAGGCTCCTAAAAAATATAGGTATTTGCAGAAGGCTTCCTAACAATGGCACAGCACCCTCCAAGAACTAGAGACTCTTTTTCACACCCGATAATGACCTCTCTGTGAATAGCATCTTACACACAATAGGTGCTCATTAAGTAAATCTGATTTTATTTTTCATAGCATCTCTCTATGTACCATCAAAGAGACAAGGAGCTGTCATCACTAGAACTGTCAAAACAAAATGAGGAGACTAATAGCATAGATGCAAGAGGCCTAAATTAGGCCTAATTTAGGCCTAATTTACAGAGGCCTAAAATGTCTCTTTAATAAATGAACTTAAAAAATAGATATGTATAACTTCTAAGGAATCACTATCACCCTTGCAGTCTATAAATAATAATGTGTCTTTGGGTTCCAAGTTCTGAAGTGGGAGGAATCTACAGTTTACTTGATGAACTTACAAGTACTTGATATATTTAGAAATTACTACTTATAGTTTACTAAAAAAAAAAAAAAAAAAAATAGACAATCGGAGTTCACTGTCGTTCTTTGATTACATTAATGGTCAATAGAGTAAGAACTCTTAGTAGACAGCATTTACCATTACCAAGAATATAAAACCGGTTTACTTCCATTCACTTTAATTAATGCATGTGTGCTAGAATTGAAAAAGGAAAGGCCAACACAAAGCAAAAAGGTAGTTGCTCATGATTGTTACGTTGAAAACTGCTAAACGTCTACCAAAATCCATTCTTCTTTGCTTGCACACTTGGCTAGACTACAGCTCTTGGCTTCTCTTGCTTTAATATGTGACCGAGTTTTTTCTAATGGTATGTGAGCAGGAGAGATGTGTGCCATTTGTAAGCCTGACATTTGCCTTATGCTCTTTCTTCCTTTCTGTGGTTGAAGACAACTAAAGCAACTCTGAAAGTAAAACATTCAAGATGGAATGCCTACTCTCAGCCTGAGTCTCTGAATGGAACCTCTTAGAAAACCACCCACCAACCTAAATACCCACCCAGGGCAGTTACATGAATAAAACATAAACTTCTATTGTGCTTAAGTGTCATTACCTGTGTGGGACTATATTTTAGCAGTTTAGTCAACCCTCTTAATATAATTATGGTGTCTAACTTCAAAGATTTTTCCATCCCAGTGGATGTAAACATCATTTAACTATTCTTGAGATAATCATTCAAAAATTGTTACTTGTTAATAATTTTTTAAAGTGAATATACATGTAGCTATATTAAAGGTTGTAGACTATCTGGAAGCTAAAAAATAAATCTTAGGGTATACAATGGCCAGTTTTGAGAAAGTTCCAAAAGTAAAATATCTTCATCAGATACAGAAATCAGAGATAACAAGCTGACTTGAAAGCAACACATTATCAAATGGATTAGAAAAAATAAAGTACACACACACACACACACACACACACACACACACACACACACAATCTGCACCCACACAACTAAAAAGATCAAAGTTCTTTAAAAGATAAGCTTTAGGGCCTGGCTCGGTGGCTCACGCCTATAATCCCAGCATTTTGGGAGGCAGAGGTGGGCAGACCACAAGGTTAGGAGTTCAAGACCAGCCTGACCAATATGGTGAAACCCTGTCTCTACTAAAAATACAAAAATTAGCGGAGTGTGGTGGCAAATGCCTGTAATCCCAACTACTTGGGAGGCTGAGGCAGGAGAATTCCTTGAACCCAGGAGGCAGAGGTTGCAGAGAACTGAGATCGTGCTACTGCGCTCCAGCCTGAGCAACAGAGTGAGACCCTGTCTCAAAAAAATAATAATTGTAATAAAAATAAATAAACCAGTGCCTGTAACAACACTGACACAGGAATTTTCGATCGGAGAT